ATGTAAAGACTCCAAATAGTACATTCCTTATGTTTCATCAGCAATACAACTAAAATGTGCAAGAAAATATTAGTACTGGCAGAGTCTAGCTTCCCCTTTCAATTGCCTATGCTTGAACTGCAAAATTAAAGAAGCAAAAAGAAAGATGCTGTTTTAAACTTTATATTTAAAAACCCTTAGAATAAGAGTAAATACTAATTATTTTACTGCAATATTCAGTTGCAGAGTAAAATGAGGCATTTAACATCAGTGAAAAAGAGGAGCAGGTTCATAAGAGATAGATGATAGATAGAAAGATAGATGATAAATAGAATGAATATCTCTTGCAGTTTATAAATAAGTGTTCCTAATAAATCTAATAATTTAAATGGAGACCTTATTTAGGGAAATGCAAGGAAGGTAAAGCTCTTTTTATGCCAAATTTACTTAGTTACTTAAAAAATAACTTCTAAATTATGTAAGAACTTTGGTAAAAGTGACATGCAAGCCTTAAATTCTTTCATGAGCTTTATTTCTTAAAAATTAGAGTTTCCAACTATGGGTAAGGACCACCTTATACTTAAGCACTCCAATGGAAATAACATACGCCAAGGGTAGACCATCGCCATCACTGTGACCTATTAGATGTATCTGCACTAATAAGGTCATGTGGTAATATCAGGAGTTAGGTAGCAGATGTATGAGCATTGCGTAAAGTTTCAGGAGTAATCTTTTCCTATGGAAAACATCAAATTTTATCCAGTAGGCATAATGTGAACCTGCCACAGTCAAAGACAACACCTACTAGAACCCATGGCAGGCAATAAATAAAGCCAGTCAAATTAAGCTAATGTAGCAGATTCATGAGCCTAAAGAAGTAGTCCTTATAAGCCACTAGAGTTTGAAGTGATTGGACACACAGCAATAGATAATCAGAGCAGCTACTAATTAGTTATCCAAGACAATCAATTATTTTAACATGGTAGGCATGAAATCAAAGCTTGGACTCAAGAACTTATCCTTCCGAATTATTGAAAATATGTTTTAAGATAACCAAAGGTTCTATCTTTTGCATAAGTCATCCTTAATCATAATGCTGAGGAATCCATTGAAATTCTACTTTCAAATCAAACTCTACTGTTTCCTTGACTGTTAAAATCCTCCATCATTCACTGATAAACATGTATGCAGGACTCTAATGTCTTGATACTCTATAGTTATAATTTTAAATATATTTTTCCATAAATCTAGGAATGAAAATTTAAGAGTCACCAGCACAAAATTGGTTTGATCACAAAAACAATCTTCAAAATAAGAAATGGAATGAAAGGAGTTAGAAGTTGGAGAATATAGAAATCTTTATGTAAACAGGAGACAGGAAAGAAGAAAAGGAGAAGCAAACAGAAAAGATGGTAAAGAAATAAAACTAAATGTGGTTGAAAATAGTTCCTTATATTAAAAATTTTAAAAATATGGGAGAGAAACTCAAATAATTTTTCAGGTGTCTAGAAAGAGTTAAAATTCTAATCTAATCACTTCATTTCTCTTGTAATGGTCAGTGGATTCCTGCTGGTTCCATCATAAAGCTAGAGGTGTATTTATTTTTTGAGTATAGGTTTCCCAATTTGGACATTATTATTCTTTGGAGTCTTCGTTTCACATGAGAGATCACTCCATAGACCAATAACCAATTCATTGTATATAGATCACCGAACAATTTGATCATAGTAATGGTCCTGAATACTGGCTGCCCTGTGCTAAATTTCCCATCATAAGAGGCAGGAAGAAATACCTGCTATAGTCTTTCTCTTCATTTCAACCTCTCCACCACCCTGAAGAAGGATGGTGTGCTTAATGAATACCATTAGGATGCCACTTCTTCCCTAAGAATTATATTGTGACTTTCATTTTTGATCTTTTTTCACTTTTATCAATTTTTTAGGGATATGTCTAAATGAAGTTTTATTATATTAGATATTAACTCAGAAAATTCAAAGTCAGAATCACAATTTTAGTAAATGTGTGGGGCCTGGGGGATTATATCAAAGATGAATTCACTACAGCCTTAAGTGACTAAGGACATACAATTAATTTTTCAGTGAAAGTAAAACTAGAACCCAGGCCTTATAGAATGTGTTAGAACTGTTCATAACTTTGTGTAGGTCTATCTACATAATAGAACAGTAAGTTGAAAAGCTGAGAGTTTGCTTTTTCTAATCTCACAGTTTTGTCTATATCTTATGGAAACAATATGCCTCTACATCTCATCTCTATAGATGGTAGGTTGCAAATGTTATCTCTGAAGTCTTGTTGTCTCCTCCAGGCAGAAGATGGAAGGGTTTCCACCTGTTCCCTTTCTGGAACTAAGGAATTTTTTAGAAACTCCTATGGTATAAACCCAAAACCAAGTTCAGAGATTTCAACCATAGCTTCTCTGTCCATTAACTTCAACCTCCTGTAAAATTGTATAAACATCTACCATAATATCAGATCTAGTATTTTCATTAACAATTATAAAATATTAGAAGTTGAAGACATCTTAGAAACCTTCTTGCTCCTCATTGATACATGAAGAAACAAAGGCAGAAGAAGTGATTTGCCAGAGGTGTCGCAAATAGTTCATATCAGATCATTGACTAGAATTCAAATACTTTGATCTCACTCCAGGATCTTTTCACTATTAGGGGCAAAGGACAAACTTGGAGTAGCTCCTCAGTTTTTTGCTCTTCCTCTAAAACAATTTTTGATTCAAGTGTCTATGAACCAGTACTTCTAAAGACAAAAACACTAACAAGAATGCTTACCATGGAAAGAAAACAAAATCATTCATTTTATTCATTCATTGAATAAGTGGTTCGCACTGTTTCAGGTGAGGAGAACTTGTATTTTGAGGGGAAGCGGGAGGCTAAAGACAAGAAGTCTAAATAAAATAAATAGGCCAAATAAGTTCGTATGCTGATTCTTTCTAAGAGAAAAATAAAATAATGAAAGGGAGAGAGTTACTACTTTAGATTAGAGGAGGTCCGTCTAAGTATGAACTTTTATACCAGAAGCTGAATGGCTATAAGGAGCCAGCCATGTGAGACTCTGGGGAAACCCCCTCTAGAGCACTGAGGCAGAGGGCCTGAATATGGAATGAGCAGGCAAAATAATCTAGGAGGAAAAAGGCCACTGTGACTAGAGTGTAGTGACTGAAGGAGAAAGTGGAAGAGGATGAGGTCAGAGAGAAGTAGGAGCTCTATTATGTTAATGATAAGATGTTTCAATTTTATTTTTAATGTTAATGGATCCGTTTGAAGGTTTTACAAAGGGAAACATGATTCTTAATTGATTTTTCTTTTCAAATCACCAAGACTGCCTGTGTGGGGAACAGATTACAGTGATGCCACTATAATTTGGTTGATATTTTATGACATGCAACAGAGAATAAAACAACCTAATCACGTAAGATAAGACAAAAATAACTGAAATTATCTGAACATTATTTTATCAAAATGATTGGGTAAAGAAAGTTACAGAAAAGGACAGCTGAAATCTGGAAACCTATACATCTGATGACAAAGAAAGGACCTTGCAATCTAGTGATACTCAATACAGTTTAAGAATCCAGAAATTTTGAAGATAATCATTAAAACTCATGGTAAAAATTATGTGGACAAGTTCAGCCTATTTTGTAAAAGTCAAAGTGATGAATCTTAATGAGAATGTTAATGTGTTATATTTTTAATCTATCTTATTTTCACAATCTTTTCTCTTGACTTTGGTCATTTATTCTACTTCTTCATGACTTGTCCTTGAGAGAAGGGAGAGGCCTTCTAAGCAATTTGCCTCATTTTCCCTGGAGACCAAAGCAACATCTTTAAGTGGACTTATAAGTGATAGTTCTGACCCCTATAATATATATGAAAAGATTCCACAAGAGCTAAAGAGGCATCTTTCTTCAGTAAGGGACTATGTTAGTACACGTATTTTATTAATGCCATCTCATGAATCCTAACAATAAAATCGTAAGATAGGTTTTGTTTTTTCTGTTTTTCAGATAAGAAAGTTGAGGCTCAGAATGTTTGGCAAACTGTCTTGGTTCACACAACTAGCAAATGGCAGAATTGAAATTTTAATCCAGGAGACTAGAGACCCTAAAGACCAAGACCTTCTCCTTGGGGTAGTACAGAAAGTATTCTTTGTGCTGTAAGAAAACCTTAGGTAGAGCTCTGGCTGGCTTTCTGGTAGACCTTGTGGGACCTGGAGAGTATACCAATTTTCAGTCATTATTAATCATCTCCTCATCATTACTAGGAATATTTCTATGTATTTTTTAAAATTTTAGTGATAATTGGATACTAATGGTGATTCAGAAAATTAGGATTAGTGTAGCATTATAATAGCTTTAAAGTTGTCTTTTATAAAATAACTTCTAAGAAGGTTGGATGCCATGTAAAATCCACTCCCACATCGATTGTAGTTCAGTGATGCAAATTGTTTTCCTTTTGGTGGTAATTTAATGCTCCCCTGAACTGGCTCCCATGATTTCAGAAGCTGGCCTCCAAACAGTCATGCTCCGTTACGGATTCCTGCCATGAGAAATTCATTTTCTGCTTGACTTTGTAAGTGAAATTACACTCTGACACTGCTCCTTTCTGCTGTTGCTGAAAGGTATTAATGTAACATGGCACCAGAAATTTATTTTCAAGGTTGTCTTCTATTATATCCTTTGGTCTGAAGTGCCTTTTTAGATCCCCCTGACAAGAGGGGTGGGGGGAGAAAACACTCATTGTGATTTGAAAACATACAAATTGTTAGGTCTCCATATTTAGAATGCAACATTTTCAGACATGTCTTAACAATTATAAAAGAGAACTATTCTCAGGAAAAAACCATATAGATGTTTATATTCTGTTATCAAATATCAAGCTTAAGGTTGTCTTTAAATAGGATTTTTATCATAAGTCAGAAATTGTTAGAGGGCATACTATCCTTCAGAAAGGGAACTACTTCGTTGTTTTTGTTTGTTTGTTTTTTCACATGAAGCGGGTAATATGCTGATGTAGTAACAAGGTTTGAGGGAGGCATATCTCACACAAAAGTATGAACACTTAATCACTGCACTTATGAACTATTGTACAAAAGTATTTGGAAATTATCCTGATATTGAGACTCATTGTTTAGGGTATGGTTATAGAAGCAAGGTGTTTAACATCAGAATGAAGTTTCTTGGAGTGTTTCCCCCATTGACTGACTTTGTACTTTCCCCATTCTCAGTGAACAAAACAAATAATATTTAAGCAGCAGCCTGCCTAACTACTCTGATCTGAAGACAACTCACTCAAGATTCTCCCGACATTCTGTTCATATCCTTGCCAACTCACCATGGTTTATTAGTTACACTGAGTCAACCATTTTTCTATCCAATTTGTGCTCAAGGTTCATCTACTCATGCCCCTGAGTTATCTCCCAGGGCCTTATTTTCACACCCAAAGTGAACAACTTACACCCACCTCCTTGTATTACTATGTTAATACACTATGGAGAGTGGTTTGTGTCCTGGGTTACCCGGCTGACAGTTGAGCACACTTTTCATGCTGATTGCTGTATGCCTAGCAAAAGCATACAATAGAGGAAGAGAGGATATTTGTTGAATAAATAAATTAACAAATAATACCAGGGTAGTTGCTTTACTTCCAAGTTGCCCAAACCATGTTAAGCTTCCAGAATCAAAATTATAGAAGGAAACAGATCTTAATGTTGGTGACTTTTCTAGACACTGCTGGGCTCTGAGTTCATCTGTATTTCACTATATTTATATTTTTGGTTTTGTTATTTAGTGGTTGTTATTTATTTAGATTTTTCCACAAAGTGTTGACTAGTTATTTCTTAAATGTTATCTGAACTTGAATGTAAGTTACTGTTTGGTGCTCTGTAGATTTGATATATTTTTGGCTTTAGTTTTTACCAATGGCAAGTCTTATAAAACAACTTTACTATGATAGTTCATTAAATATAACCTGTTTTATGCCCTGACCAGGTAGCTCAGTTGGTTAGAGCATCGTCCCAATATGTCAAGGTTATGGGTTCAACTCCCAGGGTCAGGGTACATACAAGAATCAACCAATAAATGCATAAATAAGAAAAATGAATCAATGTCTGTCTTCCTCCCTTTCTCTAAAATCAATAAGTAAAAAATAAAAATAAATGAAAAATATAATCTGTTTTTTCTGGGATCTTTCAGAGGTCATTGTTTTCCCTGTAGCTCTAACATCACTTCTTCCAATTATCTTGCTTTCATTCCCAAGACTGAGCTACATGTTCCTCCCCTGCCTTTCATAACACCCCTTATCACTGTACTATTATTCTTTTCTATTATAATTGACCATCAGTCCCTCCCACTCTGGACTTGTGTATGTCAAGAGTCTATGTCCCTTTCATTATTTCCTTTTTTTACCCAGAACTTAGCACAGCCTTTAATATAAAGTCTTAAGTTCAGTGAATGAATGGATAAAGAATACATGATAGATAGATGATGATAGATAGATAGATAGATAGATAGATAGATAGATAGATAGATAGATAATATTTAGTTTGGAGGCAAAGAAGATAGTCAAGACTCCCTTTGGGCTCTAGCGTAAATCTCAACAGGCCTTTTTCCACAATGAGTAAATTGATTTTGGAGTCTATACTAAAAACATATCCATTGCTCAGATCAGTATGATATAGAAAGCAGGAGTCCTGAGGACTTCCTTTTTTTACCAACTTCTCATATACTAAGATATTTATGTCTAAAACCTGAAATTTCACATGCTTTTTGCCCAAGTTGTAAAGATAAGGAAATTATCCCAGATTTCAGCAGCCCCTCAGAGTGGATTTTTGAAGAGAGTCTAATGTAGTCTGTAAGTTTGCAGTACTTCCTTGAAATACCTTCAGACATAGGGATATGTAGACAACAGTTACAAAGCTCCTCCCTCATGTTCCTAAACCAGTTCTGTGCTAGAATGGAAAAGGACAGACATTTATTAGGTGAATTACTGCAAGATATGATGAGGAAAAAGTAATTATCCCAAGTGTCCAATCTCAGTTCTCATTGCCTTAAGATCATTGTTATTAATAGTTCCAGGCCCTGGGCTAAGTGAGACCACTGTACATTAGCATATTTAATGCTCATGATAACTCAGTGAGATCCAGGGCTTTTTACATTTTATGGAAATTAAAATAATGCAAATTTAATTATGCAAATATGAAATAATTTAATATAAAATGATCATCACATTCTAACTTTATTTACAAAACTTCAAATATTGCAAATGCCTCCCAATTTTAAAGAGTATAAAGAATTGCCTAATTTAAATGACAAGCCTGGAGAAATTTAAATAGTATGGTTTGGTAACATGTAGGTGTGCCACTTTTGCTTGAAAATAATAATTATTAGAGTGAAAGCTAATACTTACTGAACACTAACTAAGCACCTCATAGATATTATCCCCTTTATTTTTCACAAAACACCCAATGTTATAGGACTGTTAGTATTCCGATTTTGCAGATGAAGAAAAGTTGAGCAGCTGAAGTAGAACTTAAACTCAGGCAGCCCAGCTCCAGCCTTAGTCAAGGCCTTGCCTCACTTTTCAGGATTAGTATTGAATTATGTGCATTTTGAATTATTATAACCCTCATAAACTCTCCTCTCACATAAAATATACCTGCCTTGTAGGTATTATATTCTCATCTTGGAAAATGAAGCTTTAGAGTAATGAAGTAACTTGTCCAAGGCTTCAAAGGTAACTAAAGCCCAACCCCTCTGTCAGGAACATGAGCTGTTATGTCTAGATAAGGTCACAGTCACACCTGGACGTTCATCCTGAGACTCCAAGTCCCCCTGTTTTGTATCTTTGTGGACTCAGCTGATTGTTTAATGTGGGGTAAGCTTAGCCCATATAACCCCTCATGTTCAATACCTAAGCCTCTTTTCAATTTCAAGATCCATTCAAATACTAACCTTGTCTTAAGAAAAATATACATATCCAAATTCCTGACTAACCTACCTTGTCCTTCAATTAAAGTTCAGAAAAAGATGCCTCTAGGCACATTCTCTAAGTACCCGTACTTCTCACAGTGTCTGTTCTGTAATTACAGCACCATCTTGTCAAGCAGCAAGCAGAATCAATACATGTTTGACCCAGACAAATATCAAGGGAGGTGGAGAGAGTTAGTCACTAATCACCACACCATAAATCTGCCATCAAATTTAGACAGATCTTTGCAGTGCCTGCCTTACCCAGTGAAAAACATAGGATGCATTCTCTCCAGATTGACATCAAAATCGACAAAAACTGTACCTATGGAAGCTGAAAATTGAGGATATGCCCTTTTTCTATTCTCTTAACAGAGCCCCACAGCCAAGAAAGCAGTTTTTATATGAGCACAAGTTCACAATGGTGTATTTTTTTGGATAACAATGGGCCATTTTTGCATAGATGGTGCTAAAGGTTTCTGCCTTTTGTACTGGTGATAGAGTTAACATTAATTAACCAAAATGTACAATGTGGTGTACACATGTGCAGCAGAATGACAAGAAAAAAAAACATTTCCTCCAGCAAGATGATCAGAGCCTATTCATTGTCAACCCTCTTTGGTACAAAATAAATTCCATTTTTTAGAAAAACCAAGATCCATGAAATCAGAAGATCCTACCAGTCTACAGCTCTGTGCCCTGTGCTTTCCCTGGGTAGGTGTGGTCACTGAACCTTGATGTTAAAAGCAGTTGCTTCCAGGCAATCTGAAGGAGCTGCTACAATCAAAACAAAACAAAACACAACAAAACAATTGTTCAAACTAAGTGCCCAACCCAGTTTCTTCTTCCTTATCATCAGCCTCATCATTCAACATTTTAAATGTTCTGCTACCTATAAAGGACTGGCTTATACCACTCTTAATTGTTTAAAACAATCAACCTATGTGTTCCATTTACAGATGTTAATGCTGAGACACAAAGAGGTTAAATTACTTGTCAAAGATCACACAGCAATGGATCCAAGGCTGGAACCTGGAGCAATGCCTCTATTCCCTCTGCAGCCTTCCTTCATGGATTGAATATTTAACATACCAAGAAAGTTCCTGATTCCTCCCAATCTTTCTTTCGAAGAGATCATTCTCTCTCTTCCTAGGCGCATTAAAGAAGAGAATGTATGCTATGAAAAGGAGTAAGGAACCAGTTGCTCAGAAGAGCCCATCAAGAATAAGGGAAGGGGAATAAAAAAAGTCAGCCTGCAGGGGTGAGGGTGGCCGAGTAGCCTCCCCTTCCTGTCCTCAAACTGCCTGAGTCTGCAGGGAACCCGGGTTTTTGAGGAAATGTCAAGGAAATGAGCTATTTGTTGAAGGTCAAGGCTGAATCATTTCCGTTTAGTGTAAAAGAGAGGACTTGCAACTGTGTAATGACAAATAGACGGTAGAGAGTGAAGGTAGGAAATTCAGAGGCACTGGGACAATTGCAGACTTGGCCATGACAAGAATCTTGGGGGCAGACAGATCTTGGAACTGGGCTGGGACTGAATGGAAAGCAGGCCACAGAGTCTCTCCAAGCCTCCAGGGAAGGATCCATGGACTGATCTGCTTTGGGTCGTATGTGAAAATGAGGTGTGGCCTCCGGCTTGTAGACTCAAGGTAAAATAGATGGCAGGCAGTTACAAATAATAAATAGCCACCTCAGCACATTTTTAAAAGATATTTGAGTTTCCACACATATCCTCAAATATCATATGTATTACATTTGAAAACATACTTTCAAAGTATTTCAAAGCTACTTTTTGTTTGATCCTAACAAACTCACACTCAAAGAACAAGTAGTGCCAGTGTAGCTCAGTCAGTTGGGGCATTGTCTCATAACCAAAAGGTTGAGGGTTTGATCCCTGGTCCAGGTGCATACAATCTCCAGTCTGGGTGTATACAGGAGGCAACCTATTGATGCTTCTCTCTCTGACATTGATGTTTTTATTTCTCCCCTCTCCACCCCTCTCTAAGAGCAATGAAAAGATGTTCTCTTGTGAAGACAAAAAAACAAGTAGATAACTGATATTCTCACTTTTAAGGTGAGAAAATTAAGGCTCAGGGCTGCTAAGAGATACGTGTAGGGCTTTGTAGGTAGA